ATACTGTGTTTTCTTGTTCTTTTTTTTTTTTTTTTAGCTGAACCATCCTGCCGCCTGTTAGCAGCTCTGCAGCAGCTCTGCAGCAGCTCAGCTCGGCCCGGGAATCGAACCTAGGACCCTATTGCTTAGAGCTTGCACTGTTGAGTGAGCTCTTAACCAACTGAGCCACTCGGCTGGCCCCTGTTTTCTTGTTCTTAATAGGTCTTGTCCATTTCTGCCAAATCAGGTTCCAGGCCGATGCTGTCTTACTCAGTACTCCTGCCCTGCCTTTCTCTGTTTGCTCTCACTGCCCAAGTGGCATTCATTTCTTCTGCAGAAGGGCTGTCCCTGTTTTAGTCTTTGCATTTTATGCCCCTAGGACTCACCTTCCACATCCAATAAGCCTAGCAGTGAATTTTTCTGAATAACAAGAATTTATCTACACATGGTACACTGATTCCAATCATACTTTTTCTCACTCCACTGTATTTTTTTTTTTTAATGAAATGACAAGGTCAAGTAAGGACAGCCTTATAGCAAAACCCATGGATTCTGGGTTGAAAAACCACATTTGTGCAAAATGCATTTGAGGTGTAAATGCACTGATCTCGTAAGGAGCTAGACGAGCCTGAGAAATGGTGGTGGGAGTGAATGATAAGATGGGAAGTCGGACTTGGGAGTGAGGAGCTGCATCTGAGGAGCTCGGCAGGGAGGAGATAGGGATGGGCCGACTAGAGGGCAAAGCATGGAGGTGAAACGAGGCAGGAAGTGAAGACTTTATACTGAAGGAGCTGTCGCAGCAACTTTTAGGAGAGGAGTAGCCTTGACACAGAGACAACACTGGGTCACCAGCCAGCGGAAGTGGGCACTGATCTTGGCGCTGCCCATTAGTACACTATGTGACCTTGGAAACTTAGATCAACCTTTCTGAACCTCACACGTTCCTTATGTGTAAAGTGGGTTTGAACTAGTTGGTCTCTAAACAATTTCTACTTCCAAAATTTCCAATTTGGGACTTCTTTCCAGCCATATGTGAACACATGCAAGTATTTGAGCAGTTTGGATTCATGTTTTACAAAGGAAAAATCTGACTGAGGAAAAGAAAAGAATCGCCTTTTTGTCTACTGTTTGAAGCTAGCAGCCTGCAGAGTTCATTAGGTGAAAAAATACCATTTGGGGAGATTAATTAAAAATTCTGACATTCAGAGCAGGGATTTGGGGCAGGAATGTACAAGCTCAGAACTCTGGGTAGAATTAGACAGGCATCTAAACATTGAAACTTATTAGGTATATAATTTGGCATTAAGAAGGGGGCATTTGGAGCCAATATTCCAAGCCCAAGTGCTGTTTGGCTTTGTGAGTTTTGCTTGAATTATTGCATGTTTAATAGGATTTAGCTACAGTGCCTCTGCTTAACAATCTGTTTCCTTGGCAATGCAATCCTCAGAGGGGCAAAGGCCATATGGAAAACATGGGTCATTTTATAATTTAGTAAGTGAGGTGAAAGGAATAGAATTTAATTTGATATACAGTTTTGTATTCCCACTGCACACACAGTAAGGAAAAGGGTGACCAGCACAAGGCAGGCACTTAATAAATGGAAGGTGCTATTATTATTATTATCAGCAAAAACCCCACACATGCTTTGTTTTATAATAGCCCAAACAGGCTGTTTTTCCCAAAATGCTTATCAGACACATAACTATTCTTCTCAGTAGTTTCAATGGTATTATCCTTGATTCTGTTTATGTTTTCCCAGCATCCTTTGCTTGCAGTCCATCAACAAGCCTTGCTCATTTTGCATCCAATTCATAATCCAAATTCATCCAGTTCTTCGCATTTCCCCTGTGACACTTGGTCTCAGCCAACATCACTTCCCACCTGGAACTACAACAGCCTCCTAACAGGTCTCCCTCTCATGCCTACTCTTGCCCCCTGTATTCTAATCCTTCACTCAACATCTAGAGTGACCTTCTGAAAACTAGAGTAACACTATGTCACTTCTTGGCTTAAAATTTTCTAGTTCCTTTCCACTGTGCCTAATTAGCCCAGCTCTACATGTGCATTAGGAAAAAATGGGGACAACCTAGACACTCAACAACTTGTGGGCTATTTAAAAAATTATGGCAAATTATAGAAAAGTATATATTTTTGTCAATATATTTTTTATCCATACCTCTCTGTTTAGAAGAATATTCACAAAAGTGTTTAAAATCCTCTTCTTGGGAAGGAGGTTAGGATTATGACTAATCTTTAAAACAAAAACTTTGAATGGTTATAAAATATAAAGAATGTTTGAGTAGGAGGAGAGAGACTTAAAAAAAAATCCTAATCCCTACGTACCAAAAAAAAAAAAAGACAGGAAATAGAAATTCAAATTCTGAAACCAAGATTTTTCAGCTACAGAATTCAGCTGGGGTGATCAGATAAGGTAATCTGGGGTGCATCTTTGGTGGGCATTGGCTTAGCTGATTGCTAAGCATGCTGCAAGACCATGATTGAATATTGATGGCTTTGAGACCATCTTTCCTTTGTTCTCTCTCCTACTCCACTGCTTGCATGCCCTAACAATAACATCCTTCCATACCCCCGTCGATTACATAGTCACGCACCTGCATTACAACCTGGTCATGTGTAAAACACTCAGAGAAGTTTGAGAAGGTTTCTAAAGGAAGATAGAGGAGGCTGTGCCCACTCCCTCTTGGACATGTAGTTTCATCAACTAATTCACATGGGGGCTGAGCCCTGTCCTGGGAAAGTAAAGTAGAGCTTGCCAACAATGGGGTCCAGCAATGTGCTGGTATGTCAGAACTCGGTGGGGGAGCCCAATGCAAAAAAAGTGCCAGGAGAACCACAGGAGAAAAAGCAACCTGAAAGGAAGACCATCTATTAGAATAACAGACTGAGGCTGGACAAAAGAACTGGAGAGTTCTTTTGCATTTTTGAAAAGAGGATTCATGGTATAAGATGGACAGTGCTGCCTGGTATTGCCCCTGCCACTTGAGCAGTGCACAACGTGTGCAACCTCAGAGGGGAAAGCACACGCCTTCAAGAGCTTGACGTCTGAGGTTCCGAGGTGCCTGCCACTCTCCTGTCTTAAGCAATATTGATGTATATCTATCCCAAGACCATCCCTTAAGACCAGTTTACCAAGCTGGGGGGAAAATGCTTTGCAATCCTGCAAAACTTCAAGGCCACTGGACAATCACAAGCATTCTGAACTGAAGATATGGGTTTAAATGATGGCCATCTATGGGTAATTATTTGAGAAAAAAAATATTGTAGCTAAAAAAGAGTCTGAGACTTCGCATGCAGAAGACTTCTCATTCCACAGATTTTTAATATAAAACTAAGAGCGGGTCCCTTTGTGGGATTCGTAGATTTTGAAAACCTTCATTCCTCTTTCCACACTAATCAGGCAACTCTATTCCCATGGCCTCCCCTTCCACCAATTCCTACTGGAAACAGGTGGACCTAAAAGGACCCAAACAACAAATGGAATGAACCATTGTGTGTATTTACAGAGTGCTGTCACACAGCTTCTTGTTTAGTTGTCCCATGATCCTATGTGCAAGACAGTGATTGGGTGAAGTTCAATGCTTGCCTAAGAACACAAGGCTATGTAAGTAAGGAGCGCCACTGCAGAGCCTATACTCCAGTCCCACCTCCGGCACTTTTACCGTGAGAGACAAAGAGAAGAGAAATCAGGCACATTCCCGCAGGACTATGCTTTTGACCTGCCCAGCATGCTTTCCTATCTCCCTTGGCCATCTGTCATGAGTGAACTTCCTGCTTACATGTGCCCATTAAATTATTTTTGCTTAAGCTAGTTTGAATTGAGTTTCTGTCCCTTGCAACCGAAGGAACTCTCAAATGCATTAACGACCTACATCATTGACTTTCCCCAGTCACACCTTTTGAGGTTCTTGTCATAGATCCCAGGGCTGTTTTTCCAACCTGGACAGCAGACTTTCAGACAATTTAAAGGACATTGTGGAGGAAGGGAAAACACAATTCCAGGCAATATTAAGTTCAGAAGACCCTTAGCAGTAACATTAAGAAAAGTCACTAAGCAGATGACAGAGTGGACTGGCAAAGAATTCCATCCTTTCCTATCTCTACTCAAGGCAATCTGATAAAATTCATTAATTTTGGCTTCCAGCCAACCACACTTCAGGAGAAAAGCTCACTGATGAACTTTTTCATTTGGCTCATAAGACCATCAGTGCTTGTAGGGCATGCAGTTCTGTTAAATTAACTCATAGGCTCCGCTAGTTGGGGTAAAATCAAGTTGTGCTTCTTGGACCAAACTCGTCAAATAAATTCTCTTGGCTATGAGAACTCAGGCTCAGGGATAGTTAGAAATAAACAAATTAGACTACCTCTATTTATTCACATTTTGCAGTTAATTTTTCTATACTACAAAATTACCCTTCTCCAGCTCTGCAGTTGAATCTAGGCTTTGTTAATGAGAAGTGAACCATTCTGTCTATTATTTGTTTTCTCATATTATCCAATTAGTCTAAGGTTTGATCAATAAAAATTAAATCATTATGGGGCCAACATATTAATTCTGTTGTCAGGTTTAAAGTCCAAAAGAAAGAATCCACCCCTTCTTCCACAAAACCAATCACTCCAAAGAGGATAAAAATGATTGGTACCAGCCCTCATTTTTGAGAACCTGAAAGACTAAAGATGAGGCCAATAGGAAGATGCTTCTAACAACCATACCATATTGCCACTGCCATGTTTAAATGTTTGCTAACTATGCCCAAGGCTTGTTTTTGTAAATAGTTTAATTAGAACAAACAGTCTAGCCTGTGTATTTACATATTGCCTGTGGCTGCTTTTGCTCTACTTCTATTGCTTCAAAGACCCCTGACCTGCAAAGCCAAAAACAGTTATTCTCTGACCCTTTGTAGACAGCGTTTGCTGAAACCCTGCCTAACTGCTTTCCAGCATTTTCCTATTTGACCCTCACAAAGACATTGATGCTATTTCTATTCCCACTTTCTAGATGAAGAAACTGAGACCCAGAGAGGATTAAGTAACTTCTCCAAGTAAAGCTGAGGCTGAGTCCACTTCTGATGGCAACATTTAATGAATCTACTGTTGACTTAAGAATGTACCAACCTGTAGACAACTTTTATGAGCGTTTATTTGAACCAAAACTGATGACAATTGCAGGAAAGCAAGATCTCAAGTGCTTCAGAAATCGACGGTTTTGCAGCTTCTTATATGAATTGGAAATTAAGGAGGAAGTGTAAGGAAGATTACACGAAGGTGGAAGAAAGCAAGGTGGGGATTGCACTGCAGGATAATTAACAAGATTATGTGCTCTCTTGAGGGTGGTTACTACTTATTTTAAAGGTGTGTTAACCTAGATGCACAGAAACAATGGACAGGGCTTGCTTAAGGCAAAGACAAACCTTTTACCTAAAAAGTTATATGCCTGGGGTGTGACTACCCACCATGACCTGCCCAGTTAGGAATTTATGGTCAGATCAGCCTGTGGGGTTCTTTTCCTGATGTCTACACTAGTATTGTCCTTCCTTACCTCTGGTGCTCTTTAAAATCTCAAAAATCTGATGCCCAGGCAAGAAAATTAGCCAAGCGTCCAAAAGGTGGGCTGAAAGGGTGAGTGCCAGAGGAGTTTAGAGAGAAGGTCCTTGTGTATCATATATTCTATAAATCAGCCTGCAGTCAAAGTTGTCACCGCAAAAACTGAACCTTCTCTGCAAAAACATACTCTCTCCTTTCTCCTCCTAACCTCTGATGATTTGAAAACTCTAAGAAAAATTCAAGGATTTTTCTGTACATTTTATGCCATGGAACAACACAACACAAAACAACACCAAAAGGAAAAAAAAACAAAAAAAAGCTTGCTAATATAGGACTCGGCCATTGAACACTTGTAGAAACGCTGTGGCAAATGTGTATCTTTGGTCACCTTGTTTCATCTAGGATCATAGAAGCAATCATGTATAAAGACCAACAACAAACAGCTAGGCTGTTTGAAGGAATCAGTCATTTCCATGGCAGCTAGTGAGTAACAGGAGCTTTCTGTAGATTAGTTCTGATCTTCCCCACCACCTACTGCATCTGTACGTCAGTTTCCATTAGGAGGAGACCCACCAAAGCCACAGACCCGGGAGGGGTAAAGGGCGTGGTCTCCCTCAGGGGCAGCTGTTTGGCCCCTGACACCATTCCTGTCCCATTCTAGTTCTGCACCTGCTGTTCTTTTTCCATTTTATCCCTCTTCCTGCTCCTTAGTCTTGCTGGATGTCCTTGGCTTCTCTGATTGGACTCCCTGGGAGCCTTGTAAGGGTCAGCCCATGCTCAGGCTTTCACTTTCTCTTCTCCCCACCAACAGAAAGAGGACGCCTTTTACTTCTCCACCTCTCAGCCCTACACTCTATGGAGGGCTCTCTCTGCCCACTCAGCATGTGGAGCCTCACTTTACCTAAGAGGAGGATGCCCTGGCAAAAGCTCTCATTCCTTCTCAGCCTGGGTCTTGGCAAGTCCAATGTCAATCCCTGATAATAGGAGCCTATTTCATTGGGGGTTTGAAGATCTCCATTGAGGTGGATTCCAGACATCACAGGAAAACAGAAAATCCCTGCCCTCTCTGCAAAAAGGCCTATGACACATGTAGATTACCAATGATTGAGAAAAGATGGTGGAGGAAAGTAGAAAAAACCCCCACATATTTTGGAGTTAGGTAGTTCTGGTCCCATCAGGCCTGACCCCATGTGGCTGTGGCCAAAGTCCTTTAATCCTGCGTGCCTCCATGTCCTCATCGGCCAAAGAAGCATGAAGGTGCCTACTCTGCAGGGCTGTTGGAAATGATAGAGACAGTAAAAGTGAGTGACCTCCAGACTCCCAACCAAGACAGGCAGAGTCATCACTGGCACCATCCATCATACAGCCGTTCCAGAGCCATCACTGCACTCTCCTCCTGCTCATCAGGGTTTTGTCTCTAATGCTCTCTGCCCACAGCTGCCTCTCTAAAACTCTTCATTTTGATCGGTCTTCTTATATTCCCCCTACTGCTGTCTAGTCCATAGCTAATCTAAGCCTGGTCCCTGGACAAGCAGCGTGGTCCTTGCTGTGAGAAACGCAGAATCTCAGACCCTGCCCAGAATCTTTAAGTCAGAATCTTCACAGCAACACATTTCTGGTGATTTCTGTGCATGTCAAAGTTTGAGATGCTCTGTCTTACTCTCCCCCTGTAATTATCATCTGTAATTTTTGTCCTCTCATACGTGATATCTGGTGTATACAGTCGTATTGCTGCCATAACCAATTATCACAAATTGAGTGGCTTACGACACAAATTTATTCTCTTGAACTTCTGGAGGCCAGAAGTCCAAAAGTAGCACCCTGGGCTGAAGCGAAAGTGTTGGCAGGGCCATACTACCTCCCCCGCAACCCCTCACCCGGGAAGCTCTCAGGGAGAAGGTATTCTGTTGCTTTTTTCAGCTTTTCGAAAGGCATCCCTTCTCTGTCTTCAAAACCATCAGTGCAGCATCTTGCTTTAGTCTTCACCTTGCCCTGCCTCCTCCTCTGCTGCCTCCCTCTTGTACGGACACTTGTGATTACAATTAAAACCCAAAAAACCCAGGATAGTCTCTGGGTTATAATTTGAAGATTCTTAACTTAATCACATACACAAAGTTCCTCTTGCTATATGAGGTAATATTCAAAGGTTCCAGGGGTTAGGAAGTGAATATTTTGAGGGGTCTTTATATAGTCTGCCATTTCTGGGTCTCTCATCTGACACTCAGTATGTCTTTCATAAAAGTTGGTTGACATTTGTATTTATTTGGGGGATGTTATAATTAGTATATGCCCACCATGGAGACAGGCAGTGACATAAATTGACTATAATTTATCGTAATTGAGTATTTATGAACATATCCCTTAGGCTCACATGTTTTCAATAGAGAAAGTAATGAACCTTGAAGGCTTCACAAAAGAGGTGAACTAAGCCCTGAAAAATGAACAGAAATTCAGCAGGTGACCAAGATGGGGAGAGACATTCTAAGCAGAGGGGACATTTAAACGGCACGGAATCATGAAAACAAAGCCTATTCAAGGAGCTGTAAGTGTGAGGGGAAATACAGTGTAAGTATGAAGTCAGGCGATCAGACGATGAAGCAAAGGGCATCAGTCAGGATCATATTAGGAAGGGTTTGGAATGCCTCCTTAGGGAAACCAGTGTCCCTCCTGTAGATTATAGGCAATCACTGAAGATAACCATCAGGAGATTGACAAGATCAGAGCACAGTGAAAGAAAGGTCATTCAGGTGACAGTGTGGAGGCTATTTTGCAAAAGCTTGGTGCAACTAAATTAACTTTTCAGTTCATGGTAGGTGTTTGAATAATCATCTGCTCCATGTCTCTCATAGGTACCATCATGCTTGAACTGCCGTAGCAAAAGGGACCCAGAATAACAAGATGTTCTGTTCCAAGCAGATGCCACTCTGATCTGAGCTGGGGACACAGCTGCTCAGTAGTAATCAACACGCCAGTTTCTGTTTTAATCCTTTTCAACTGCAGAGGGGAGGCAAGGTATTAAACGGTGAGAGAGCTCCTGGCACAGTGTGTGTAGAAGGCACCTTTATTTCTGCAAGACAAGCTCAGCTTGCTGCTTAGATTCTGAAGGTTGGTGCTGGTCTTAATCATCTGCCATCTGAATGGGCATCTCCAGGCAGTTCTGATGGTCAGCAGGATTAAGGAGCACTGGCCCAGCCACCTGAACTGTCCTTTGGTTATCTGAGATCAGTGGGCTATCCCAGTTCAACACAAATAGGCAGCCAAGGACTTTCCTGGCTTGTTGGAGATAGAGATAATGATGAAGATGATGATGATAACAGTGGCCTTTTGATCACTGACTATGTGCCTAGCACTTGCTTTACACAAACTGGTTCTCTCTAATCTTTGTAACAATGTTCCTAATACTGCTGAATATCGCCCACACTAAGAAATTCATTTTCTATTGTAACGCATTATACATGTATGTGCTTGTAAACATTCCATCAAATGTCACACTGTGTGCATTTTCTACTCCATTCTGCTGTATTTTAGGTTTTTAAAATGTTGGTCATCCTGCACTAAATTGATTTAGTAATCTGCAGTTCAAGATTAAAGGTGAGTATGGTTGTCCCCATTATCCTAGCAAAACAATCAAAGGTGAAATGGATTAAGCAACATGCTCAAGGCAACACAAATCCCAGTCCTCTGAAAACTCCATGCTTTTTCTCGCATGTCATCCCTCCTCCCAAATTACAAAGCCCCTGCTATTGGGACAAATGCCTCAGTGCAGCAGAGAAGTGATGATAACCACAGCAGTGACATAAAAAATAATACCAGCTGATACCTTGTAAGCCCAGACGACATGGCAGCCATTGTGCTAAGTGGAAGTGTAACGTGCCACCTAATTTAAGTGATGGAGAAATAGCACCAGAGAGACAACATAATGCAATGGGGTGCATACTGAATGGAGCACTGGAAGTTGCGTATTTGCTCAGCTCTCATCCCTGACTCTCACTAACCCCCTGCAGCCTCAGAACTCCAGTCTCAGATGACTCCACTGTTTACGGAGATCGATGATGCTCCTGACTCCAGCGAACAACACCTGCCCCTCCTGTTAGTTATATTAAGGATCAAAAGTGCTAAAGCCTTTTGTAAACGGTACAAATGTCAGTTCTTTACTTGTTTACCGTTCTTGAAAGGCCCACTTTGCAACAAGGTTGGAAAAATGCAAAGCCCTCAGCTTTGTCCTTTCATCAAAGGAGGCAAATAGGAAAGTCATAGTGTTCCCTGCTTCAGAAAAATGGACCTGACACAGCAGGGCATTTTGTCCAAAAAAAAAAAAAAATCCTGTTTCTTTCCAACAAAGGTAACATAGCTGTCTGGTCTAATGGCTAACATGTACCCTTCAAGCAGGGGTTTGTTCCTTCCAGGGCCACTTGGGATGTGAGTTTCTTAACCTCCATGCCACATAGGCCCTGATGATATAACACAATATGGGATGTGGGGCCACAGCGCTGGGTTGTAATCCTGGTTCTAGCCTGCAGTGGCACATAGAAGGCAGTACATTTGGGCATGTCACTGATCTCTCCAAGTGTCAGCACCCACATCTGTAAATTGAGGGAATGATGACACCATTTTCCGGGTGCAGTTGTGAGGATCGGCATATTAATAGGACCCGTATGATAACATCATCACTGCCCGAGACTCAGTTTCCCCAGATCAGGATTATTGTGCGGACTGCAGGGAGGGTAGGTCCCTGAGACCGTCCATGGCAGGATGAGTGGCTCTATATCTGTTACCCCTCTCCTTGGCTGGGGAAAAGGGAAATCCACATTCCTTCTTGCTCATTCTTGGGGGCTCTCTTTGTGTCGAATGATGTGCTTTGCACATAGTAGGCTCTTTGGCTAGTACTTGTGAAGAGAAGAAAACCATTTCAGGAGCAGGTTAACCAAGATTCCAGAGGGCTGAGGGGCCCAGGCCAGAGTAAATCTCCTAAAGTGGATTCCAGGAAGGAGAAGACGCCATAGGAAGTAAGCTTACCGCTGGTGAGGAGTGTTCAGGAGGCATGAGGGTAAGGTGCCAAATAGACTGAAAACCTCATGTCTCCCTGATATCATTCATTCATTCATTCATTCATGCACTAGTAAATGAGACCCCTTGTTTTCTTCTCTGAGATACTAAGCCCAAGGAAAAGTTCTGTCTTCAACACCACCCTCAGAAACACCAGCTTGGCCAGCCTCAAAGGCCTTCCAAAAACCGGAGTCACGAGGCCTGGCAGCTCTGACCAGACAGGCTGCAGAGCAGTGAGCAGGGCCGGAGCTGATGCGGCATCTTTTCTGCACACAAGGCAATCGCACCCACGGTCCGTGAAAAACACAGGGCACGGGGCCAGGACCCTGCCCTCCAGCCCCAGTTCTTCTCACACTAGCTGTGAGCCCAAGGGTGAGTCACTTGACCTCCCTGGGTATGCGTGCTTGTTTGTATGTCAATATAACACTGTCATGGAAAAGAATGGGAAGAAGGCAAAACAGCTCTTTCATGAAGTGACAAATGTCATTTAATATCATGGCAATGTACCTGGGACTAATATCACCTGGTACGTGTCCCGCACTTTGTGAAAACCTGCTGGAAGGTAAACCACTGTGGGGCAGGACTAGGGGCAGGTAAATGAGGCACTCACCTTGGATGCAAGATTGAAGAGGATGCCAAAAAAGTAATCCAGGCCAAGGATATTCTAACGCAGGATTGCTAGAAATCCATATGAATGCAAAAATCCATGATAACTGAAACATCAATATTTGAATAAAAACAGGCTCCACCCCTGTGTTTGCCCGACACCGTCTCCCTTGCCTCCTCCTAGTCCCGGCTCTATAGGTAGTGTCTGCACTTGGTGGGTATGGTAGTACTAGTACTTTTCACACCTAGAGAGTACTCTTTAATTCCTCAGACATTATTAGCCTCTTACTTGAATTGCCCAACCAATCCAAAGGGGAGTCAGGAAAAGGAAAGCCGAATATTCCTGTTTTATAGTCAGAGCGGTGGCTTTAATGGGAGAGACGTGGATTCAAATCCTGTATCTGCCCCTTAAAGTATGTGACCTAGGGCAACTTGCAAATGCCCCTTTCCAGAGCCTCCAGACCTTTACCTGCCCCGTGGCTTCCTGCACTCTCCACCACTGCAGAGCTGACTTTGCACCCACTGAGAAGTCCCTTCTAGATCTTGGAAGAACATCTCTTCATTTTAGACCCTTCATTTTCCTACTGAATTCACTCGCTCTCATTCACTGTGAGAGTCTTCTACTGGTTGACTTATTTCCTTCCTTATCGGCGAAAGGAGCTGAGGGTCTAAACAATCATTTTCCACCATATGCACAGAGAAGCACAGCAAATGGGGGAAGACAAAAGGCAAATTTTCACAGAGAAGCAAAGAGACACCACACTGCCCTAGAGTCGGAGCAAGTGGCAGCCTGGGTTTCAGGCTTCTTTGTTCAGCTGGCTCCCCCATCTGCCCTTGGCATCCTTGCAAACACAACCTCACTTTTTCTTTAAATGCACTGTTGAAGGTTTTCATTAACTGTTAACCAAAGACAGTATTTATGAAAAAGCGAAACCTACTCTTATAGTCAATCTCATGAATTCACCTATAGGTCTTCTTGAAGTTTTCATTGCTTCTCCTCCTACTTGGAGTAAAGTTGTGCCTCTCCCAACCAAGAGGTAACACTGAATTATGTAATTTGCAAAATATGCCAAATATATATCCATTACTGCCTCATCTGCCTATGCAAAATCACCCTTGGATATTTACAGATTTACTTATATAGACTTTAAAGCATTTAATACTTTGGACTGCTCTGTACTTCCTGAGATTTGAACAGTTACACAACACACCAAAGTGTGGTTTTTCACTCTCTTGAAAGATTGTGATCATGAACTTATCACAGGTTCAGTTATTGAGAAGTTTTACTCTTTGGAGAAGATGGTCTGGGGATCTGTGAGTCAGACATAGGGTACAAACCCCAGCGCTACCCCTTATTTGCTGTGTGGTCTTGGGCCAGACACTTAATCTGGGTATTATAAATTTGAAATTTATAAAGTGGGAATACTATCTTCCTGGCAGGAGTTCTGTAAGAATCAAATAAGACTGTATGTATGAAGGCATGAACTTAGCTCCAACATACTGGGTATAAGAAATGTCACATTTATTTCTCCGAATAAAATTTAACCTATGAACAGCCTTTGGCAACTCAGCCCTAAACAAGTAAATACAGACAGGAAAAATCTATGCTGATCCCCCACCCCATGAGGATGGAAGAAATACAATAATTGGACTCCCTCCAACTTGTGAAGGCCTGAGAGGTCTTCCCAAGGGCAGATCATTCGTTTAGGAGGCTCCTGATCCTTACTGATAGGCCCCTGAAGGAGAATTTCTCTACTGCTTCCATGATGGTTGAGTACAAGGCTTTCCAGAGGCTCAGGGTCCCTGTAGGTGGGGCGCAGCTCCCTTATGAACTCCCTCCCTATCACAGCCACTTCCTCGCAGGTCTGTCACCTCTCGGGTGCACTGTGAGGGAGCAGGTGCAGGTCTTTCGGTCTTCGGCAAGTTTCTCAGCCCCCATCTGTGTGCGGGCTGCCTCTGCCTCCCCTAGTCCCCTAACCCAGAGCTTGCTCCTCCCCTTGGGAATGACGCTTCAACTCCATGCCAAATGCACAGGCCAGAAGCCATAAACTCACAGTCCACAGATGTGTTGTAGTCCATTTTAAAAATTGAATTAGTTGTCAAGATTTAAACACCAGATAAGAATAAACTTTAGTACATAGATACAGTGGGTTACTAAGCATCTGTAAAAAGAAATAAGATCTCTTTGAACTGATTATAGAATGATTTCCAGGAGAGATTTTTAAGTGAAAAAAGCAAAGTGTGAAAAATGCATATATAAAAGGCTACCTTTTGCATTAGAAGAAGAAAAAAGAAAATGTATGTAGATGTGCACTAATATTTTCAAAAATAAATACAAAAGGTAAGCCAGAAAGCAATGAACTTGGGGTAGGTGGGGGAATAGCAGGGAAGGGGTGCAGAAGGGGGTTACACTTCTCTGAATACACCTTTTCTGTATAGTTTTGACTTTTAAAAGTATGTTAATGCTCTACATATTGAAAAACTAAAGTTAAACCAACAAAGGGTAAGAAGGGAGCAGTGTTACAATCCAATGCTAAGCCGCCTGATGTCTGTCAATCACGTCCACACTCAAGGTCAATGTGAGATAAGGTTTGACACCTGCCAAACAGTCCTTATTTGAAGTTTTGAGTTATGCCATAGGACCCATGCCAACCCTAGGGCCAATGGCTCCCCTATTTCTTCAACTGGTACCAGCTCTCCCAGCAACAGAGAGAGATGGGTTTGAAGTCATGTCTCAGCACGACCTATTTTGCAGGTTAAGGACATCTTTCCTCTTTTAGAAATTCTCTCTATTCCTTCCCTCCACTGCCCTTGGCATTTCTAAGCCTTTAGCTCTTTCCACCCTGGGGTGGAAGGGGTTGCCGGTTCTCATTTATTCATTCAGTTTCTTCTGGCCAGCCCACTGGAAGTGAAGCTGCTGGCTCATCTTGAACCCCATCCATGAAGCACCTACAAGGCTGCTGGGCACTACACTGCCATGTGCCACCTTTCCTCTGTGCGGCACAGAAAGTCTACCTCTTTCTCTGTATCCTGTTACCAAACACTGTGTATTTCCCTAGACTGGGTACACTCTCTGTTCCAGGAGGAGGGGTAAGGGGGAACTAATCCACCCCAAGGGTATCTATTTGTGGGGTGTTTACAATCAGATAGACTAAACTCTTGTCCTCTTTCCTTTTCTCGTCTCCTCTTCTTGAAAAAGAGCATTGGCCACTCAAAGCCAATTTGAGGACAGAACTCTAGGAATTGACAAGCATGGGTAAAAAAGTCCTCCGGAAGATCCTTTGGAACCTGGGTGACAGCTGGTGTGGTGAATGTATTTGGGTTTTAGAACCAGCTGACCCGGGTTGAACTCAGCTTTTGCACTTTCTAGCGGTGTGCACCTCAGTTTCTTGTAAACAGGAATAAAATGAAGATACAACTGTACTTTCTACCTCACAGGTATTGTGTCAATTAATGAAATGATATATATAAAAACATCAAACACTATGTAGCTATCCACTTCCTTATTAAAAACTACTTGTTTTTTCTCCCATCAATAGAACTGGAAGGGAAGGCATATGCTGGAAATTTTTTTTTTCTTAAAACAAGGTCATTTAGAAATGTTTAAGTATAAAAGCAGTGTATGTTAATTGTAGAAAAATTAGAAAGTCCAGATATGCATAAAGAATAACATTTCAAGGATATTCATAAGGTCATCAACCAGAGATAATCACCATTAAGATCTTTCTTGATATTTTCAGATCTTCTTAACATCAAGTACCTATGCATATGTGTGGGTATCACTTATCTGGATGCTTTTTCAACCTGCTTAAAATATCCTCCCCTTGATAATATTTTCAAAGATCCCATGGTTTTCAATTGCATAGATATGAAAAACAAATCTCGGGCCGGCCGAGTGGCCCAGTTGGTTAAGAGTTGTCTTAAGAACATAAGCTCTGAGCAACAGGGCCTCCGCTTCAATTCCCACATGGGTCAGTGACACTGTGCCCGAGCTGAGCTGTCGCTGAGCTGCCAACAGGTGGCAGGATGGCTCAGCTGGTGTAACAAGAAGATTGCCTGTTCGATGGTGGGCTATGCCCACCCACAACTAAGACTGAACTCGGCATTTTGAGCTGAGCTGCCACCTGGATGGCTCAGTGGACAGAGCATGCGCTCTTAACAACAAGGCTGCTGGTTCGACTCCTGCATAGGATGGTGGCTTCGCCCACCCGCAACTAAGATTGAACACAGTACCTTGAGCTTAGAGGTCACAAGCTGCTGACGGAAGCCAGATGGCGACTGGCGCCCTCCACAACGAAGATTGAGGAACAACAACTTGGCTGGTCCCCTTCCCCAATTCCCCAATAAAATCTTTAAAAAAACAAAAAAACAAATCTCTTATCCTGATTCCTGTAGCTAGCAGTTTAGCTTTCCAGGTGTGTATTATAATTAATGCTGCAGTGAGAATGCTTGGAGCTGAAATATTTACACACGTCTTTCTTATTTCCTTAATATATCTTTCCAAAAAGGGAATTGCTGAGTCCAGAGTTTACATCCTCCAAAGGCTTTTGTTTTACATGCAGAAAATCCCCCCCTCAAATGTTTGTATCGCTTTATACCTCCAAAAACACTCGATGCAGAGCCTTTGCCCTATACCCACAACCACACTGGATCGCAGCATTCTCACACACACACACACACACACACACACACACACACTCACTCACTCACTTTTCAAATTTCCTTGCAAAAGAAAACAGATCAGCATTTAAATCTGTAGTTATTTGAGCTTATTTTTTCAGATGCTTCTTGCTCACCAACTGGAACATTCTGAACTCAATCGCTGCCCTGTCCGAGTTGTCAATCTTGGGCCGTCTCCATGAACATGAATGGTCTCTCTAGCGCTGTCTACCTAAAAATGGCTTCCATGTCTGAGCACATGTCTTTCCATGAAATCCCAAGTTAATACCCAGATGTCCAAAAATTACAGATGGAGACGTCTTCAAAAGATTGTGCAGCCCACCGGCTTTCAAAACTCTTCTTCTGGAAGTAATTTTATTTTTCCATAATTAGAGAAAAGTTGGCCAAGTTAATTTACCTGGAACCCTGGAATTTGTTCTTTTTATTAAACATAATAAACCTTCAGTAAACTCTAGCATGTTAACCGAAGTCAGTTAACTTGAGCTGCTGCTCAAGGAGTCTTGATTAGGAGAGACTCTGAGTTTTATTTCTAGGGCAAGCAGTGTGGGAAGCCAAGTTACTCTTGAGTGTGCCCCTGGCACTTTTTTTTTTCTTCCCTTCAGGACATTTCGTATTCTTATGAACACCTTGGTCTTTCTTGGTCTTATACCCATGTGTTCTTTCTTCGAGCCACCGCTAAATTTTCCTAGGGTTCAAAATACCTCTTCTCAGTCCCTTCTCACACCAAATGGAATTCTTTTCTGCTCTCTTCTAAAAATGGCTCCTCTCTCCTGACTCCCGCGAACTCAGTGCTCAACCTCTTCATGTCCGGGAGCTGAAGACCTAATGTCAACTGTTTCCTTCCCTCTCTCGGCAGCTTTTCCCCTCCCATTAAGCATGCACTCCATGCCTATTCTCATCCACAAACAATGAATAAGATGCTTTCTAGGATGCTTTCCTAGAAATAACCGTTGCTTTCTAGGCTGAGAAGGAGTAACGACATGCAGAGACAAGATTCTGTTGCCCTCGTGTACTGAGCACTTTTGTTTCCTTATTTTGGGAACTTTAAAACATTTATTTTTTTAATTTGACCACCTCAGTAACCCTTGGGGATACTTTCCATGGGCTGTGACCAGTCCACCAAACGTTTCCTTTGCCTCTTTACTTGTGACACGCTAATAACAAAAGAGAAGGGAAGGACCGTAGTGGGCCTTCATCACTTTTTTGGCTGCCCAGATCTGGGGAATGCCCCACCTTGAACCCAAATCCCACTCTAGAACCTGATGACACAGATGTTTGCTTTGCCAGTGAGGATGCAGGCTCATGGTCCAAGCGCCACCAATCAGGTTCACGCCCGGCCACCTGGGCTTTGCAGCAAGAAAGCAGAGAATTGGTTCTGATGATGGGTGGCTGGAGCAGTGGCAGCAGGCCAATCTTTTAGTAATGATAGGATGATAGAGTAACAATGGTACCCAATGCCTGCTGTTGCTGCTGGTGGCATAAGCAAAACTGTCCCAAGTTTACGAAATGATGAGAGCAGTGTCGCCACCAGACAGGTTGCATGGCGTGATTTTGCTGGTGCCTTAGCTGCTTCCCAATCTCTACTGTTCCAGCAGGACTGCAGAGACTGCCTCTGTCATCCTCCCAGTGATCCTTTAAGCTACCCAACATCCCTCCAATGAATTCCTGTCCTTTATATGTTAAATCAGCCAGTTTCATGAAAACCTTGACTAATAGGTAAAAAGACAATACAAGATTATACAGTTATGTCACGTGAAGACCAAATGACCTTATAGTTATAGGAGTAACTTTTGCAGAAGCTAGAATATAGAAAAGTAGAGGGGACATCTAGTTATAACAGGATATTACTGGAAATTTGGATTCAAAATAAACTAC